GGACTCTCAACGGCTGGATCTCGGCACTGAAGTCTGACTCCATGACATCTTGCAGTGGGAGAACCATGAACTCCTTCCTCCACACGAAATTGGACTGAACGGCGTACCCCAAAAAGATTCCTCAGGGTTTGACGTCGGTTCGAACCTGAGAGAGGATTTGGCCTTGTTCTTAGGACTGATCCAGTAGTCAACCCAAAGGAACCAACGGGCCTTTGAACTTCTCACCGAACCGTTGCGACCAAGGCGAACTACCCTCCCGGATCGGGGTGCCCTGTCATGAATCGAAAGGATGCCATGGTGATGTTGGCAGAGTTCGAGGAGAACCAGAAGAATCGGAAGAAGCTGTCCCAAGCGGACTGGAATTGGTGGCGCAGCATCATGCCGGACGTGCCGGAGGACGTGCTGGAGATGATGGTTGGGTTTTCGAGTGAGCCGAACCCAGAGTTGCTGCCTTGGAATAGACGTCAGAGGCGTCGACATCAACGAAGTCGGGGCTTGGTGATTCACCTTTTCTCTGGAGCTGATACAGGGAGGTGGAAGGGCACTTTGCCGGACGACATGGATTGGATTTTCTTGGATCTGGAGTTGGGAGACGGCTCCAACGTGCACAATGCGAATGTGTGGAGCTATGTGTGCTCGCTGGCTAGATCCGGGAAGGTGAAGGGTGTTGTTGGAGGTCCGCCTTGTCGTACCACAAGCAGATTGAGGTGCAAGGGGCCCCCAGGACCAAGGAGAGTGAGAGGCCGTGGATCTGACCGTTGGGGGTTGGATGGGCTAACCGCCCGAGAGCGTGAGCAAGTGCGAGGGGATTCCGCACTGGTGGCGAAACAGGTGGGGCTATGGCATCTTGCGGAGGAACATCGTGAAGGATCTGAGCCGGTGGCATTTCTTCTGGTGTCGATAATATTGTTTGCCATGCATGTCCAAGTTCACTCTTGTACCTTCAATAACGGACCTAATGGATCTTTCAGCCATTGCGTTCGTTTTGGAAACATATGCAAAGCTGGTTTGGTGTCTCCATCCTAGCCTCTCGGCAGTGGCGATGAGCTCTGGTGAGTTGTCGGAATAAAACACTCCTACCTCATCAGTAGATCGAACAAAATGTTTGAAGGCTGCGATGCATTCCCGTGTCGAACGACGGGCGGCCGGGTAGACATATCTAGTTGCTACATCTTTTACGACCAGTGCAACTCGAGCCCCATCAATGTCCATTTCCTCATCGTCCCTAATGACAAGATGATCGGCAGTCAAATGTTGTCCAAAGTGGTCCGCATCAACTTGGGTAGAACCTCCCTTGCTATAGGATGGACGTTTCGTCATCTTCGCCTGGAACAAGCTTGACAAAAGGGGTTCTTCGGTGTGTGAGTCAACAGATGCTGAATTGACTGAGCTTCTTCCTTCAGTGCAATCTCCCCTCTATCCCGTTTGGGATCCCACGGCTTTTCCACCAACCTTTCATCCATCGGTTCAGGCTCCTCTTCAGCGGGGTCTTCACCAATGGGATTCTCATCATCATCGTAGACCTCAATCGCTTCTTCAGCCGGCGTAGCAGGCAGAGGAATCATGGGTCGTGGTCCCCCCGACCGCTGATTTGTACCGTAAGGTTGGCCTATGGCTGACATCGCAACACCAGTTGTGGATGGCAGGTATGGAACATAGTCATCTACTTCAAGCTTGACTTTGGTACCATCTGGTTTCTTGAAGTATGGCCTGCTATAAGCTGGCCAATGAAAGCTCCAACCTGCATCGATGCAACGTTGTCCGACAGACACGACGGCTGGACTGTCATCTAAGACATACGGATTGATGTCATCACCCAAGATGGGAACATTTACTCTTGCTTGGTCAGTGGCTTGAAATACTCCGTTGGCTGTGAGAAGACTTACAGGTTTGGATGACTGTGACGCCTCATCGGAATGGAGCATGTGCCTAGACACAAGATCATCTGCCCGTGTCTGCTATCCAAGCAATCTCAGTGGCAGGCACTGAGGTCGACGGCCTCTTCCCAAAACACTTGATGCAACCAATGTCAGAGTTGCATAGGTACGAACATTCTGCCGATACGGACAAAAGCTCATTCCTAACAGCGTTCTGGAGATTTGAGGCTGCAATGGAAGCATCTTCAGTGGCAACTCGAACAGCTTCATTGTACTCCGGTCGATTCGGTGTGAAAGCCTTCCGTTTCTTCTTACTTCGGGGTTGAACAGACCTCCAATTGGAAGACGACTCAACAGCATGAAAAAAAACATTTGGTTGATCATCAAAACAAACTTGCTGTCTAACAAAACTGGTCAAAATCGGTGCATAATGTGTTCGATGCGGAAAGGACCGGCATGGCCACGCTTCCCAGCGGGCGAGTGATGAGGACGGAGGATCCCTGAGAGACCACTGCGGCCATGACCACTGCTCGAAGGAGGCAGACTGCTGCCGGTGCGTTGGAAGAAGAAGACTTCCCACCTTTTCTCCGCTGACTCTCGGAGCCAGTTGAGTTGTCGGAGCCTGACGACCCTCGCGAACTGCTTCGTTTGCGAGGTTTCTTGTCTTTCTTCTTCTTCTTCTTGTCCTCTTTCTTGGCAGGGACAGTCTTCTCAGGGTGCTGGAACGCACAATCTTTACCTCGATGGCAATGTCCTGCCTTCCAGAATTTGCAAGTCTCCTTGCGAGACCCTGGAGTCAGTGACCTCGATCGAGACTGACTGCGATCCTTACCCTTTCCCTTTCCTTTGCTCTTTTCGCGGCCTTTTTCATGCTTGTAAGGACATGAGGATCCGCGCTTGCATTTACCGGTCTTTTGGTAATCAAAGCACACACCTTTCTTGTCATCTGGAGCTGGCAGTGCGACATCCTTGGCACCGAGAGAGCGCTTAGTGGCATCCTTCATCTTTTCAAGCCTCTTTCTCTCAAGATATGCCCGGGCCGCAGTGATGAGGAAGTCATGAGACCTCTCTTTGCTGCCTTCCGCAGCACTGTCATACAGGGCAAGATCATGTTCGAGAGGCTTGAAACGCTTCACCGCAAGGTGAAAGTATGCCTCTAGGACGTTGTTCTCGGGCTCCTTCTTCATGCCCGCTAACACGCTGTCCCATTTGTTGATGAAACCTTTCAGATCATCATTTACCATTTTGACCGACATGAGATCTTCGAGGCCGTAAATGGCGCCGTGCCGGATGCTTGTGGCGAAGTACTCGTGGAACCGGAGGAGCAAATGCCTCCCCTCACGGGCTTCTCTTCGCGAGCACGCAGCTCCTTAAAGGTTGCGATTTGACGACCAAGGTCCCCCTCGGCGCAGTTAGTGAGGCTTGCAAGAAGCTTCGCGTCGAGAGTGGCAAAACCTTCGGAATCATCGAGCGCATCAATGGTTTGGGATTAATTATATACTTTCCCAACCCACGATCTTGCATCATCTGGTTTGGCCGAAGCAGCGGCAATGTTGTCCCTCACCTTGATCTTCCAATCTCTGTACTTCTCAGGTGTGGGAAACTTGGGAATGAGAACCTTGTCGGCCTCCTTGGCCTTGTTCTCACACTCTCGGTCTTTCGACTTCTTTTGCTGCTTCCTCAGCTCCTTTCTGATGATACGTGCAAGACGCGAGGACTCAGAGCTTGAGTCATTGGAATCATCATCACTATTCGATGAACCGGATGAAGACGGAGATGGAGAAGGAGATCGTCTTTTCCTGCGTTCTCTGGAACGGCCCCTCTTTGGGCTCTTGTCCTTCTTCTTCTCCTTTCTCTTTTCCTTTTTGTCCTTGTGGGACTTTTTGTCGTATTCTTCATCCGCATCTGACGGATGTGGTTCGTCATCGCCTTTGATCCCGTGCTTCTCCAACTGAGTGCGAAGACTTGCAGGATGCGAAACTGGGGATACCTGAGACCCAAGTGGCTGGGCTGGTGGCACAGGCACTCGGTTCCCCGAGGCGTTGTCGAATCTTTCTCTTAGGTCCTTGATGATCCGACTCTGTTCTGCGAGTTCTGACCGGAGGGCATCCTCTCTTTGCCTGGCCAATGCGCGTTCGCTCTCAACGACGGCATGTCTTTCGAGCGAAATTCGATCCAAGTAAGCCCTCTGTTCATGAAGTTGTTGGTTCTGGTGGGCTTGACTCGTGTCATTTAATCGTTGATTGGCAATAGCCTCATGTTGTTCCCTAGACTCCTCAATGGCCGTTCTGGCTTGTTCATTCACGGCATCCCTGAACTGTCTGGCTTGATCCGCGACCTGCTGTCCATGCTCGGCCAAAATGGCCTGATGCCTTAGTTCCGCAATCTGAGCAACCTGGGCCGATCGATCTTCATTGACGAAGAGTGCTTGTTGATGGATCTGCCTAGCATCAACGTTCTGTACATTCAACACAGGTGAAAACTCAGTATGGAATGGCGACGGCGTCGGAACAGCAGACACCAGGTCCCCCTGGGCACTGAACGATGGAGGCTCAATTGGCCTCTGAAGGTCCAGCGGAACGAAAGGGAGCTCTAGCGCAGGTGAGCTAGACATTGCAGGTGAAGTAGGAACGTAGCCGGAACGAGAACGGTCATGTCGGGAACCATCGTCTTCAGCCATGGCCTCTAGGCAGTGCACTACCTATGGTGGGGTGAGACCAAGGCCAGTCACAAGCACGTACCGCACTTCTGGCGATACGGCTGATAACCTGTTGTTACAAGTGAGTGGCCGACAACTACCACTAAACGCACCTGTTTTGCCTTGAGCCAAAGTAGCACGAGTGAGACGTAGAATACATAACACTAGCGTGAAACAACAAGTTGAGTCTGTTCAATAGTCAGCACAATCGCGGCCACGGGCGAACATGGCAAGCCTGTATAAGTGCCCCAGCAGCTCGAAAAGTTCATGTTCTGGCGAGCCCCCCACCCCACCTTTCAGTCCAGTAAATCCGTCTCAATCAATCGACTATATGTCCGAACAGTCAATCCGTTACTAACTCGCCTTTGTGTTGTGGATCAATTGAGAAACATAATCCTGAAAAAAACGTGTGCAGCCCCATCTGCCTGCGGCCATGCACGCGGCATGATCATAGCTGGGAACCTTTGCAAACCTTGCGTGGGTTTAATCTGAAGATCAAAGATCTATGGTCCTCCGAGAAGAACACAAGATGGAGGCCAGTAATCTATCTATCTATCTATCTATGCAAGTCCATTCCATCAATTCCATCACATTCCGGGAACGGTTTAAAGTTTAGAAAAAATTGCCAACACATCCACGAGACTGGGTTTCAAACTGAGAAACCATCGACGCCGTTGTGCCAAAGTAGGGATCCGAGAACCCCATCTCGTAGTGCCATTGCCCACCACCGGTGTTGTAGAGGGCTTCATCTTTTCCAAGAGCTGCCGTGCCATTGTTCCAGTAAGATTCATAGCCGTACCATGCGGTACCAGCACCGTTGGGGCCACCGAAGTACATCTTGTAGCCGAACTTCTTCTGCATCATGGCCATTAAGCCGCTCCTAGCAGCGTGCATGTATTGTCATCGCCTTCCACACACACAAGCAAGCAAGCAAGCAAGCAAGCAAGCAAGCAAGCAAGCAAGCAAGCAAGCAAGCAAG